GCGCTCAGCAAATGTCATGACTCCCGACTCCAGGCCCCTTCTGGACAGGGTGGGGTGTTGTGATTTTTCAATTTCAAGCCATGCACAATTTGCTAGGAGTCACCTCTGGGGGGCAGATCTTGCTCCCTTTCTGCAGCATTCCAAGAATATTTGCGTTCAAGCACAGGGGGTCTCTCAAATTTGGAGAATCGTCTGGGCAGATCCAGCCTGCTTTTTCAGCCATCAGTCTCTAAAGTGTATTTCTCAAAAAAAAAAAAAGATGTACATGCCAAAAAGCAGATATTACACGGGGGGGGGGGGGGGGGGGGGGCAGAGTGTGAAACAGAATTGCCTGAGAACCCAGGCTCTCACCCCCGTTTGGGACCTTAAGTTAGAGGCGTCGTCTTTTCTCTGAGCCTCCGTTTTCTGAACCACAAAATGCAGGAGCTCCTCTAGCCAGTTACCACGTCACAGGACTCTTGTGATGCTTAAATTGGGACAACGAGGTGAACACGCACTACAGGACAGCCCGAGTGGGGGCCCTTTGACTCTTAGCGGGGCTCAGTTTCCCAACCTGCGAGCATCTCTGTGAGGTAGGTACCTCTTCCTCCTCACTGCTGTACTCGGGGCACACTAGCGTAGACCCGTTTGCCCCCCGGGGAGCAGCCAGGCCAGGAGCGCCGGGCCACCCTTTCTTTGGGGGCTGAGCCGAGGGTCTCCTTCCCGGAGATTCGGGCGCCGGCAGGTGGCAGCCTGCGGCCACCCGGGCGCAAAGTCAGCACCACGCCCAGCGCCGCCGGCGCTCTGGGCCTTTCCCCGGGGCGCTACCCCCCGACCCGCCGCCTGCCACTTTTTAAAGGATCTCGAGCTCCCTTCTCCGTGGCACCCTCGGGGCCTGGCAGCCAGGGAGCCCCGCGGAAGCGACAGCGTTCCAAGGCGAGTTCGCCCAGACGGGTCCGCGTCGGCCGGGCGAGCGAGCAGCGCCCGCTGTACCCCAGACCTGACCAGGGGAGCTCTCTCCTTGGACCCTAAAATCAGCCCTAGACGTTCGGAGTTCGGCTGAGCTCGCAGAGGGTCCGGGGTCCCCAGCTTCGGGGGTGCGCACGGTCGGGTGCGCGTCGGGGGCCCGAGCGAGCGCTGGGCGCGCGGACGCTGTGTTTCTTTTAGAGGCTCTCCAGGGCCGGGCAGGGTTCGGGGCGGTGGACACTTTGCTGGCGGCTTTCCGGGCCCGGGGGGCGCTTGGGCTTGCGGGGCGGTGCAGTCGCTGGGGGGGCATGGGGGTGGCTGCGGGCGGTTTCCATGGTGCCCGGGGCGTGGAGCAGGAATGCCCTTGGCTAGCTTGTGGCGAAACAAGTGCACGGCCGGCCCGCGGGGCCGGGAAGGAGGCGGGGGGGTGGAGGGGTGGTAGGAGGGGTGAGGGGGGGGCGGGGCGGTCACGTGCGCCCAAGGGGGCGAGGCCCCGAGCCGGCCCGGGAGCGAACTGGCTTAAGTCAGTGGCTGCGCCGGGAGCGAACTTTTTTCCAGCACTGCGAGGCTGGAAGTGCCTGGGGGTGGGGGAAGCCCGGGCACCTGCGGTCAGCACCCGGCGGGAGGAGGCGCCGCGCCTGCTGTCCGGCCCGGGACAAGGCGACCGGGACCGAAGACGCTCGGAACGCGGGAGTCGCAGGTCCAGGGAGCGCCTCTCCCGAGCGCCCGCCAGCCTTCCCGCACCCGCCTCTGCGCGACTGGGACGTCGTTGGGGGTGTGTGCGCGTTCCGGGGTTCCCGTCGGGTGCTCCACCCGCGGCCACCCCGCTGAGCGCGCCCGCGTCCCCAGCTCCACCAGTCCAGAAGCCGCTGTGGTCATGGTGACGGAAGGTGCCACCCCGCAGGACGACGATGGCACTTCGTCGCAGGAGTCCGCGCTCCACCCCAGCGCCTCCGACCACCCCGGCGTCTCCACGGACCCCAGCGCCTCCGACCTCCGCAGCGTCACCCTCCACTCCAGCGACTCGGCGCACCGGGGCAGTTCGGCCCAGTCCAGTGCCTCGGCTCAGCCGCTGGGCCTGGTCCCTACCCCCAGCAGCCCCGAGAACCTCAGCGTGATCAAGGTGAGCAAGCGCCGCTGGGTGGTGGTCTTGTTGTTCAGCTGCTACTCCATGTGCAACGCCTTCCAGTGGATCCAGTACAGCTCCATCAGCAACATCTTCATGCGCTTCTACGGCGTCAGCGCCTTTGCCATCGACTGGCTGTCCATGTGCTACATGCTGACCTACATCCCGCTGCTCCTGCCCGTGGCCTGGCTGCTGGAGAAGTTTGGCCTGCGCACCATCGCGCTCACCGGCTCGGCGCTCAACTGCCTGGGCGCCTGGGTGAAGTTGGGCAGCCTGAAGCCCCATCTCTTCCCCGTCACCGTGCTGGGCCAGATCATCTGCTCCGTGGCTCAGGTCTTCATCCTGGGCATGCCCTCCCGCCTCGCTTCCGTCTGGTTCGGGGCCAATGAGGTCTCCACGGCGTGCTCCGTGGCTGTCTTTGGCAATCAGGTGGGTAGTAAGTAGAGCAAGGGCTTTGGGGGAGGGGGAGGGTGTTGGGCCTGACTGCACCTGGTTCTGGGAGGTGGCACCTTTCTGACTTCTGCTAGGGTTGTGACTCTGAGGGATCTGTGGGGTGGGGTGGGTGGGACTGAGCGATTATGACTGTGGGCATCATGTCAAGAGAAGGGCCAGAGAAATCAAAGCAGGGAGTGGTGTGTGTGTGGGGGGGGAGGGGGGTCTTGGCTTGTCGCTACCACATCTCCTCCCCTGGTAGAAAGCAAAGGTCTGGAAATGCAGGCTTTTTTTGTGGTCTTCTAGAACGTGCCAGCCACCAGCCTAGCCAGCTGAGCTCCAGAAACGCGGTTCTTGTTGAGGGGGAGTCCCTGGGAGTCAGACTGCCAGTAGAATTTCCACGGGTGTTTTGAGTAGGACCCGACCCCTTTTCCTCGAGTACAGTTTCTCCTTCGTACATGGACTCCCGCCCTGTTCCTGGTTGGCACCGTTCTCACCTCCTTTTGATGTGAAGGCTGAAGCCAAGACAGTGGGAAGGATGCTTGGTGCCAGCTCCCTCTCAGGGGTTTAGAGCCAAGTGCAGCAGGATGGCGTGGAGATCATGCTGAATGTTCCAGGCCATGGAAGTTCATCTCTTACTCCCTCCTTCCTTTTCAGAAAGAGACTGTCCAGTCCATTGTGTCTCGGGCTGGTGACGGCCCACAAACGCGAATTTGTTAGAATCTCGGTCTCCAGATACTGGAGGCAGATGCATCTGGGTTCCTTTATCTGGATGATGGCCTGCTGCTTTCTCTTCCTCAGCCCACGCAAGTGTGGTAACCCTGTTTCAGGAAAGTGCAGGAACCCCTAATTCTCACAGGCCTGTTTCTTCATTGCATTGGGGAGCTTAATGCTTCCCTTTGAGGTCTCTCTTTTAGGACAACCCTCTGCAAAAGGCGGATTTCCATTCTGGTCCATTCTGTTCATTTTCACCACCAGGAAAATGACAAGTTGCAGAAGAACCCCCCCCCCCCCGCACCCCAATTTGGGAATTGATGAAAACCCTGACAGTAGACAAACGTTTCCTGTAGCCAGGAAAAGGATCATAAAATCCTATACCTGGGCCCAGGAGATAGAACAGTGGTCAGGGCACATGCCTTGTATGAGGCCCACTGGGTTCGATCCCCGGCACCCCATATGGTCCCCTGAGCCCCGCCAGGAGTGATTCCTGAGCCCACAGCTAGGAATAAGTCCTGAGCATTGCCAGGTATGGCCCCCAAACCAATAAATAGTCCCATACCTGGCTTCCTCTCACTTGTGGATGTTCTGTAGGTTGAGTGGATCTGAAGTGAGGAGATGCAACAGATGGATCTTTAATTCACACAGTTAAAAATTGGTGTTCAACCTGGTACAGGTGCCTGAGCCCCTGCCACCTACATTTTCCCTCTTGAAATGTGCCCTTTTAGACTTTCATGCCTTAGTGCTGGAATGTGAACCAGCTGTCTCCACTCTGAGAAAGACATATCTCTTGAGCACGTATTTTACCTTCTCTCCTTACCTCTTTTTATTTCCCAGTAAACTTTCCCGATAAACCTTATTCCCCAATAACTCAACAGGTCGAAGCATGCACTTTGCATGTGAGAGGCCCAGGTTCTATCCCCAGCACCACAGGGTCCCCTGAGCACTGCCAGGGATGATTCCTGAGCACTGAGTAGGGTGTAACCACTGAGCACCTCCAGGTGTGGTCCCAAATCCCAGCCTCTCCCTGCCCCCTGAACGGTAAAAGGTGACATTCACTTGTTGCTCATCTTAGGGCAAGTGAGGCGGATTTTTAACATTCCCTTGCAGTGAGAGCATGAGTTTGGTGCTATTGTATTTTTCCCCTTGCTGGGAGGTAAAGGGAGCTTCTGCACTTCTAGAGGGTTCCATTTTTATGGAGAGGAGAGGCACAACTGGATGTGCTCAGGGGCCACACCTGGCCATTGGGGCCAGGGGCTGGGGGAACGACTAGATGCAGTGCCTCTGATTTGAAGGATTTCTAGCCACAGTTTCAAGCAAGGCAAGCATCAAACCCCTGTGAAGATGCTAACTCTTCCTCTTACCAGGAGGTCAGGATTAGATCCCAAACCCATTGTTGAAAAAGGGGTGGGGGAGGAGGCTGGAGCGTTAGAGGGGAGGAAGCTCAGGTGTCCTGCAGACATCAAAGAACCCAACACGTTTTTGTTCAATATCAGAGAATGCAACATATTGTTAATCTTAAAGCACACCCGGTAGGTTTTCAACCTCTTCTTTCCATATCTGGTAGAGGACCTAACTCTGGATGTAGCTTTAAATTTTAACCTGAACAGTTAGTGATTTGTTCTGCTCCCCACTCTCCAGGAAGGTCAGGAAATGCTAAGAATTCTACATTTAAAAGCACCCTGATAGCCCGCATTTGCATCCGGAGACTTCCTTGGAGTTTGATCTCTGGGCTTAATTCTAAATTCAACAAAACATAATGAAAGCGAAATTGTTTGCGCTTCTTCATGCTGAGATGGTGTTTTGACACCACTTCCTAAAGTAAAGCCAAACTGAATGGAGGCAAAATAGTAACACCTTGAGATTTAAATGCCTGGCCAGAAGATTCCACAAAGCATTGAAATGTCATTCTGCAGAATAATCCTCCTGGCTGCAAACTTTAGCCTGAATAACATTAGGCCTGCTTATGCCCTTTTTCCGCTAATGCTTTGTACTTGTTCCATGCTAGCACCAGCCCCAACTTCCATTCCAACTAACATTAATGTTTTTATTCAAGCTTTTATGAGGTGTAATACAAGGATTGCAGAGATGAACCTGACCTTTTCAGAATTCTCATGCTGAATTATTATTATTATTATTATGAATGTGCTGGAGATCAAACCCAGGACCTCACATGGGCAAGGCAGCTGCTCTACGCCTGACCTTTTCAGAATTCTCATGCTAAATTATTATTATTATTATGAATGTGCTGGGCTGGAGCAATAGCACAGCGGTAGGGCGTTTGCCTTGCACGCAGCCAATATGGCCGACCGGAGTTCGATTCCTCCGCCCCTCTCGGAGAGCCCGGCAAGCTACCGAGAGTATCTCGCCCGCACGGCAAAGCCTGGCAAGCTCCCCGTGACGTACTCGATATGCCAAACACAGTAACAAGTGTCACAATGGAGTCGTTACTGGGCCCACTCAAGCAAATCGATGAACAATGGGAGGCCCGTGACCGTGACCGTGACCGTGAGAGGAATCAAACCCAGGACCTCATATGGGCAAGGCAGCTGCTCTATGCCTGGATCACAGCATCCTCCTCAATGCCAGATTTTCAAATCATACCAGGCACCAAGAGGCACGTGTAAGAGAGAGAGAGAGAGAGAGAGAGAGAGAGAGAGAGAGAGAGAGAGAGAGAGCTCTCCCTCTCAAAAGGATGTATATTTCCACCTCGAAGTGAAGAGCATTTTTTTTTGTAGTCATATCTGGCATTGCTTAGGGCTGACTCTTGGCTCTGTGCTCAGGGATCACGGTTCAGCAATGGCAAGACAGGAGTCTTCACCTGCGTCTTTTTTGACTCTAGGATGGCATTTTCACTACTTTGTCTAATTGTTGGAGGAATGAATGAAAATGTCAATTTAGTTCCTACTAGGTGCAGGGCATATTCTGTTATCTAATTTGATTCTTTCCACAAGGCTATGCAGTAGGTGCACTTGTATCCGTTGTTTTAGGCGAAGACCCAGATCAATGGAGCAGCCTTACCCAGTTTCTCAGTTTCTTAGTAGGAGCCTTATCCAGGGTCCTTTAGTAGCAGTAGCACTGTCCTCCTGTTGTTCATCGATTTGCTCGAGCAGGCACCAGTAACATCTCACAACAAATTTTGAAACTTATTGTTACTGTGTTTGGCATATCGAATACATCACTGGGAGCTTGCTGGGCGGATGAGATAATCTCGGTAGCTTGCCAGGCTCTCGGAGAGGGGCGGAAAAATCAACCGGGATTGGCCATGTCAGGCGCGTGCAAGGCAAACGCCTTACCCTCTGTGCTATCGCTCCAGCCCCAGGGTCCCTACAGCTGTTAAAAAAAGGTGAAGAAAGGTGATTTGACCCAACTCCACCTTCCAAACTGTATCCATAGGCCAATCCTGAATCTTCTTATAGACTCAGGATTGTTTATTTAATCTTGTTGTTTGTTTTCGGGTCCATACCTAAGAGTGCTTGGGGCTCTCTCCTGGCAGTGTGTAAAACCATGTGGTATAGGCGATTAAATCTGGGTGTCCTGCATGTAAAGCATGTGCTCTGATCAGTTGCTGTCTCTTGCTAGTTCCAACAAATAGAGTTTTGGGTACTACACTGCATGGTGCTCAGCACTTTTTTCTGGCCCTGTGCTCAGTAGTGATCCTTGGCCATGCTCAGGGGACCATAAGTGGTGCCAGGGATTCAAATCAGGTTTGGATGCACATAAGCCAGCACTTAAACCCCTGTATTACCTCTTTGACCTGGGTACATAGAATTACGCTTTTTATTTTGTTTCTTTCGGAGGCCCACCCTGACCACAGTGGTGCTCAGGGTTTACTCTTGGCTCTGCTCTCAGGGATCACTCCTGGCCATGCTCAGGGGACCAAGGGGGTGCTGGGTCACCCTCATACAAGTAAGTGCTCTAACCACTGTACTATTGCTCCAGTCCCTGGTATATATATCTTTACGGTCACGGTCCTCCCATTATTCATCGATTTGCTTGAGCGGGCCCAGTAAGTCTCCATCGTGAGACTTGTTACTGTGTTTGGCATATTGAATATGTCACGGGTAGCTTGCCAGGCTTTGCTGTGTGGATGAGATACTCTCGGTAGCTTTGAGATATATATATATATATTTTAATTTTATTGAATTACCATGAGATAGAGCATTACACAACTGTTCATGATTGGGTTTCAGTTATATCATGTTCCAATACCTATTGCTCCAGCAGTGTAATTTCTCAGCACCAGTGCCCCCAGTTGCCTATATGGCAAGCACCTCTCT